AGGACCACTCTGCCTGCACTTCTTCCAAAACAAAATCTATTGGTTCTTTTGGTAGCCCATGGCACTTTCAATATTCTCCTCCAACACCATAACTCAAAAGCATCAATTCTCCTACAGTCTTCCTTATTCACTGTCCAGCTTTCACACGCATATGAGGTTATTGAAAATACCATGGCTTGGGTTAGGCACACCTTAGTCCTCAAGTTGACATCTTTGCTTTTCAGCACTTTAAAAAGGTCTTGTGCAGCAGATTTGCCTAATGCAATACGTCGTTTGAGTTCTTGACTGCTGCTTCTGTGAGTGTTGACAGTTGATCCAAGAAGAATGAAGTCCTTGACATCTTCAATCTTTTCTCCGTTGATAAGAATGTTGTTTATTGGTCCAGTCGTGAAGATTTTTGTTTTCTTTACATTGAGATGTAATCCATACTGAAGGCTGTGCTCTTTAATCTTCATCATAAATGTTTTAAGTCCTGCAAGTAAGGTTGTATCATCTGCACATTGCAGGTTGTTAATAAGTCTCTCTCCAACCCTGATGCCACGTTTTTCTTCACAGAACCCAGCTTCTCGGATTATTTGCTCAGCATACAGGTTGAATAAGTATGGTGAAAGAATACAACCTTGTCACACACCTTTCTTAATTTTAAACCATTCAGTGTTCCCATGTTCTTTCTGTTTGAACAACTGCTGATGGAAAAGCTCCATATCATCAGATAAAGCAAGGCCAGGGGCAGACTGTGAAACAGACAATCAGTTACTCATATGCAAATTCAAACTGAAGTGGAAGAAAATGAAAACAAGTCCACAAGACCCAAAATATGACCTTGAATATATCCCACCTGAATTTAGAGATCATCTGAAGAACATATTTGGTACATTAAACACTAAAGACCGAAGATCAGAAGAGTTGTGGGATGACATCAAGAACATCATACATAAAGAAAGCAAAAAGTCATTAAGAAGACAAGATGCCGGGACCTGCCTCAACATAGGAACTTGGTTCACGAGGTGGGGATATCTGGTGGCTGTAGAAATATAGAGATACACACAAGGACACCAAGAGAGATACAAAGAGACACCCCGAAACCAGAGTGGATGCATCACCAGTGGGCTGACTTTGGACCACGGGCATCGTGGCCTCTGCAGGCAGCAACGCACTGCCCTGCAAACTGTACTGCATGCCCTCCAAGCTGTAATGCACCCCTGGGTCAGCCTGCACCTCCGTTTTATTTAGGGGAGGTACTTTACACAAAGCTGGGCGAGACTAAGACAAGGTACAGCTAACATACGTAATTCTCCAGACATTCAGGCACCTTTACATCTTACTTCGCAGGTTCGAATCTCACAACCGCAACTTGGTTTCTCAAGCTTAATCAACATAACTTTTAGCACCTAGCCTCAAATGAGGGGAGTAAAAGGAGGATTGAGAGGATTCCCATTGTGTCGGCTGCCTGGGCCAGGTTTGCAGGAAGAATCTAGGCGCCTAGGTGAACGGGCTGCACCTGGAAACAATTTAGGCAGGGCAGTCCTTTTGTTCTTAGAACAGAGACCTGGGGAGCCACCCAATTTACTTTGAATGAATTCTTTGAGGGAAGAACTTTGCCTGTTTGGAATTTTACAATCTTGGCTTTTAGGAAATTATCACATTTATCTGTGGACATCAGGGCTCCATGTAAGCAATTAATAACAAACCTAGCTGAACACTAAGATGAAAAACAACTTGCTATGACTGCTAGATGGTTAGAGTCTGTTCCTCAGAGCCTGTGGCCTGTATGGTCTGCAACACTCGGGCCCACAGGGCCTCAAACTCCTGACCGGGTCTGCACGGTCTTCAACAACAAGAAAGAAGGAAAAGATCAAAATGGATGTCAGAAGAGACACTGAAACTAGCTCTGCAGCATAGAGATGCTAAAGCAAATGGAAGAAATGAGGAAGTACAAAAGCTGAACAGAAAATTTCAAAAGTCAGCTCAAGAAGATAAAGCCAAATATTACAACAAAATGTGCAGAGATCTGGAATCAGAAAACGAAAAAGGAAGAACATGCTCAGCATTTCTCAAGCTGGGGGAACCGAAGAAAAAATCAAGCCCTGACTTTAGTTATTGAAAGATTGTCTGGGAAAATTATTGAATGATGCAGAAAGCATCAAGAGAAGATGGATGGAATACACAGAGTCACTGTACCAAAAGGAAATGGTTAAAGTTTAACCATTTCAAGAGGTAGCATATGATCAACAGCCAATGATACTGAAGGAGAAAGTCCAAGGTGCTTTGAAGGAATTGGCAAAGAACAAGGTACCAGGAATTGATGGAATAAAAATTGAAATCTTTCAACAAAGTGAGGTGGCACAGGAGGCACTCACTCATCTCTGCCAAGAAATTTGGAAGACAACTATCTGGCCGACTGATTGGAAGAGATCCGTAACAGTGCCCATTCCAAAGAGAGGTGACCCAAGGGAATGTGGAACTCATCAGACAATCTCTTTGATATCCCATGTGAGTAAAGTTTTGGTAAAGGAAATACAGAAATGACTACAATCATACATTGACAGAGATCTTCCAAAGGTTCAAGTCAGATTCAGAAGAGGCCGCGGAGGGAGGGATATCACTGCTGATGTCTGATGGATCTTGGCTGAAAGCAGGGAATACCAGAAAGATGTTTACCTGTGCTTTATTTACTACGCAAAGGTTTTTCGATTGTGTGGATCATGACAAGCTGTGGACAACATTGCAAAGTATGAGCATTCTGCAACACTTAATTTTGCTCATGAGGAATCTGTACCTGCTTGTATTTAAAACAGCCATGACATAGCTTCCAGAATCACAGCAACTCACAAGCCACCACAGTATGACAAACTGACAGACAAGTGGTGGATATGCACATGAGGCTATTGGAAAGACCATAGCTTGGGTCAGACGCACTTTAGTTTTCAAACTGACATCTTTGCTCTTGAAGAGATCTTGTGCAGCAGATTTGCCTAATGCAATACTTTGTTTGGTTTCTTGAGTGCTGCTTCTGTGACCGTTGATGGCAGATCCAAAAAAAGCCTTTGACAACTTCAGTATTTTCTCCATTTATCATGATGTTAAGGAGCTCTGGTAGCGTAGTGGTTATGAATCGGGCTGCTAACCTCAGGGTCAGCAGTTCAAAACTACCAGCTGTTCCATGGGAGAAAGATGAGGCTTTCTGCTCCCGTAAAGATTTACAGCCTTGGAAACCCTGTACAGGGTTGCTATGAATCGGAACCAACTCCACGGCACATAACAACAACATCATGATGTTATTTATTGGTCCAGTAGTGAAGATTTTTGTTTTCTTTACATTGTTGTTGTTGTTGTCAGGTGCCATCGAGTCAGAATTGACTCATAGCGACCCCATGCACAGCAGAATGAAGCAATGTCCGATACTGGGCCAACCTCACTACCGCTGCCACACTTGAGTCCATCAATGATGACACCTGGCCAATCCATCTCGTTAGGGGTCTTCCCCTTTTTCTCTGACCCTCCACCTTACCCATTGTGGTGAGCCCATAATTTAAGGCTGTGGGCTTCAATCTTCATCAGTAAGTATTTTAAAACTTGTTTGTTTTCAGTAAGCAAGGTTGTATCATCTGCATATCACAGGTTGTTAGTCATCCTCCAATCCTGATGCCATGTTTTCTTCATATAATCCAGTTTCTCAGATTATGTGCACAGCATACTGATTGAATAAGTATGGTGAAAGAATACAATCCTTGTGTACACCTTTCCTGATTTTAAACCATGCACTGTCTCCCTGTTCTGTTAGAATGACTGCTTCTTGGTCTATGTACAAATTCCTCATGAGCACAATTAAGTGTTCAGGAATACTCATTCACCACAATGTTGTCCATAATTTGCAAGTAGGTCTGGTATTCTCTGCGTCCTCGTCTGAATCCAGTTTGAACCGCTGGCAGTTTCCTGTCAATGTACCGTTGCAACCTATTTTGACTTATCTTTAGCAAAATTTTACTTGCACGTGATATTAATGGGCTGAAACAGAAAGGAAGGTCAGACATATAACAAGGTGTGGCCACCAGAAGAAGTCAAGTTTCTTCCAGGCTGTACCCCAGGGCTGCTGAAACAGGAGCAAGCAGAGGTAGGTGGTGCATACATCTGTCTATCCATATGGTACACGCAAACTTTCATGCAGCCAGAAGACATCTAGGAATAAGATTTTTCTGGACAGCTGGGATCCGCACACTAGCTCTCACCCTCAATGCCCCCTTGACCTTACCCCCCAAACCACCGCTGTTGGTCCGTCTTCCAGGTCGGGCTCCCCCTCCCACTTTCGGGCTGCTTAGCACTCTCAGTGCCATGCTGAAAACCAGATGTAGACCACGGAGCCCTAGTCTGAATTTTCCCGCTGTCTGACCCTTCTTAACTTGTTTGGTCATGCCGAGCCCCGCCAGCCGCCAAAGCGGCGAACTCATTGGCTGCAGACTCATGATATGCAAACGAGACCCTTCTTCAGGATATGTCAGGAGGCGGGGCCTTCACGAGGAGAAGCGGATGCTGAGTAGTGAGTGGGAGGAGCGGGGCCATGGGGCTTGGCCAGATGCGAGCCGGAGGCGGGCCGAAGACTAAAGGGACGTAGATGGGGACAGGGCAGGGACCAAGAGAAGAAAGGAGGGAGCGAAACCAGGAGCGAGCCGGGGAGGGGAACCCGGGTCGGAGAACAGAACCAGGGAGGAGCCGAGGGCAAGATTGCTTCTCTCAAGGTGGCGAATCCTGGGACGGGGACTGGGGCGTGGAGTCAGAGGCCGTGGGCGGAGTCGTGGTGGGGAGGCAGGTCCTGGAAAAGAGACCGAGCAGTGGCGGGGCCATGGAGGGGAACCCGAGCTGGAGGCGGAGCTGGGAGACAAATGGGACCTCCCATGGGGGAACGCGCGGGATCAGGGGCGGTTCCCGAGCGGGACGTGGAGCACTGAGACGCGAGCCTGCTGAAGCAGTTAGGCAGCTGGTCGCAGGGACAGGAGGCGGCAGCCATGAGCGCGCTGGACCTGGCCCGGGTGGGCGCGTGCGTGCTGAAGAACGCGGTGACCGGAGAGGTGAGGAGGACTAGGAGGCTGGCTCGGACTGTGGGCCGATAGGGTTGGGCGTCGGAAGGGGCATTGGTGGTGCCGGAGGCCGTGGGGGGCGATGCTCGCTGCCGAGGGCCCAGGCGCGCGGAGCACGGACTGTGCAGACCTGGAGGGCGGTGGTCGTTTTGGAGTCCCGGTCTCACTGACCGCCGCTGCAGGCCGTGGAGCTACGGAGCCTGTGGCAGGAGCAGACGTGCGTGGTGTCCGGACTGCGGCGTTTTGGCTGCATGGTGTGCCGCTGGATCTCCCGGGACCTCAGCAGCCTCAAGGGGCTCCTGGACCAGCACAACGTGCGCCTGGTGGGCGTGGGGCCCGAGACCGTGGGTCTGCAGGAATTCTTGGATGGCGGCTACTTCGCGGGAGGTGGGCACCCCTTCCCCATTCTACATCAGCAGCTGGTTCTCAGCTGCCCAGAGATCCTCTAGGGAGAGAGAGGGTCCTGGACACGGGAGGCAGCGCCTGGGCCCTGATCTCTCCGTCTGTAACAGCCCCCAGGGCTCTGCAGCACTGTCCCTGGTGGGGTAGGGGTGGATGGAATGTGGTTCTGAGAGCTATCTCAAATTCAGGGCGTTCCCTATCCCTCTGCTCAGTTCTGCCCCTTCTCATTCTCAGCACCTTGTCTGCTCATACTGGAGTTGCCCCCATCTCTGCCCCCCCACCAAACCCCACTTCTCCCAAACCTCATTGTGGAAGTCTTTGCCACTGAAGTGTTGGGTCCATAGTGACGTGACTTTGGCTCAGGACCCTAATCGTTATAACTGGATCATTTGAAAGACGGTTAGAGAACACTTGATCCCTTCTCCCAGAACAGATTTGAAGCCAGAACCATCTTCCAAATGAGGTCCCAGGTCCTGAACACTCTCAGATGCCCCCTATCCTGACTAGGAATAGCAGACCTGTGTGGTCAGCATGGCTGTCCTTGTCTACCCCAGTCCTGTCCTCCTTAAAGATCCATCTGTCCATGGCAGAAACGGGTTGAGTTCTTCCTTTCCACCTGTCACCTCTGAACAACGGAACTCTTATCCCTGTTCTGCCCTCCTGGCCCTGAATGGTGGGCTAGGTAGGCACCAAGGGTGGACAGAGGGCAGTGGAGAAAGGAGTGCTGGGTGGTGGGATGTGGCAGGGCAGGGCCCACACCTGTGCCTTTACTTTGCAGAGCTCTATCTGGATGAGACCAAGCAGTTCTACAAGGAGCTGGGCTTCAAGCGGTGTGTGTGTGCCCTTGGGGTGGCATGTGGCTGGGCGACAGAGTACTCCCTGGGCTGGTGGAGGAGCTTCATTTCTCATCATCCTGTCCCCCTGCTGCTTGGCTGTCCACTCAGGCCTTCCTGGACAAGCCGAGACCGATGGCACTGTCTGTTTTGGCTAGCCCTTCTAGAAGCCAGGTTGGGGATGAGGTGTCAGTTTTTGTAATGACTGTGCTGTGACCATCCCACAATCAACAACTTACAGTCTCCAGACTGTGGTATTTAGGGGTTATGGAATCTGTGTGCCTAGGCTTGGGCCATGATACCTTTTTGCCTGTGGGAATGGTGACCGTCCCTGATCCAGGCTGCCTCCCATGATTGGGAATAGCAGCCGAGCCAGAGCCCAGTTTACCGGGCCTGGGACCCAAGCCCCACTCCTTCACCTGCTGCAGGCTGGCCCAGGGCTTGGGCAGCTACTCTGAGCCAGGCACCAGGACCTTCTGAGGGCTGGTTTGGTTGCCGCCCTGGGGCCCGAGTGCCTCTGAGGCCCTGGGCAAGATGATGGGAGGACTGGATCTGATGGTGGGACCTATGTTGAGTCTGTGTGGTGACATCAGCTTTGGGGCTTAATCTTCACGGAAGAGTTAGGATGAGCAAGCTGTTGTCTTTACAGGTACAACAGCCTGAGTATCCTGTCCGCTGCCCTAGGGAAGCCAGTGAGGGATGTGGCCGCCAAGGTTGGTGACAGGCAAGGTTGTGAGGAACTTGGAGTGGTGGAACATGGATGCCCCTGTTCTTCAAAGGCTGACATGAGCCTGGCTTCCTTCCCCTCAGGCCAAGGCTGCCAACATCCAGGGAAACCTGTCTGGGGACCTATTGCAGAGTGGAGGGCTGCTGGTGGTCAGCAGAGGTAAGGAGGAGAAGGGGAGGGGACAGGGCCCTGGACCCTGGATGTGCAGAGCTGCCTGCTCAGCTGGGACACTCTTGCTGAACTTGGAGACTGGACCCTGACCCTCCCTCCACTGGTTTCTTGGTCTCGTCCTTACGTCTGTTCTTGGTGTGGCCCTTGCTCCTTGGTGTGGTAGGCTTAGATTGGTGAGGGCTGTGGCTAGAATAATTCAGGGATCACAGTCATTGGTGGAGGTGCTGTGGGGCTGCAAGCTGGGGCAGGAAGTTGTACCCACAGCTGAGATTGGTGCCCCAGGACCCATCCCCATGCAGGCTGGCCTACCATCCTTCATTTCCCTCCTGGTACATCTGGCTAGTTGAGGCCCTGCAGACATCCTGCCTTCCTGCTGCCCCCAGGTGGTGAGAAGGTACTACTGCACTTTGTCCAGAAGTCCCCAGGGGACTATGTTACCAATGAGAGACTCCTTCAGATCCTGGGCATCTCTGCAGAGGGCCATGCCAGCGAGCCGCCCCAGGTGAGCTGGGTCTTGGAAGTGGTACTGGTTGGTAACCATCTCCTAGCCCTGTCCTCATGGGGTGGAACCAGGGGACCCGGCACTGGACAGGGACCTCCAGGTGCTTTCTCTCATCCTGGGACTCCCAGCAGCGCTGGTATCTCTGTTACCCTACTCCCTGTCTGCCCCCCACAGAAGGGGAGCAGGTGAGAGGTGTAAGGGGATGAGGAGTGGGGTGGGGTTGGATAGGGAGGGAAGGCCCCTCCCCAGATGGCAGTGGGTCACAGAAATAGGCCTGTTCTCTTCAAATGGGAGTGCTGAGGTGTGTCTGAGGTGGCCCCAGTGAGCATTTGTGTGTTCTAGTAGCTTGTGTTGGGGACAGTGACCCCTGCCTCCAGCAGGCTCTCTCCTTCATATGGCCCCAGATCACCTAGGAGGTGGGGGGCAGCTGCTCTTGGCCCCTGGAATGTGGTTTGTTTGACGGTCCATGCTGTTCCCACAGTGTGACGAGGAGGTATGTGGAAGGTGAAGTCCCGGGAGTTGAATGTGAAGGATCATTCTGGAATCACTGAGCTGTAATGCTGGATGTGGCTACATGGGTAACAAGGGTGATTAAAGCTACAGTCACTGGGCACAGTGCTGCTTTACTGGTTCCAAGCCTCGTGTCCCCGTGTCCCTCCGTTCTTGCACCTCCCACTGTTCTGTTGGGTGGTTTGCATCATGGGTCCTGAGGTGGGTCCCCCTCCTGCCATGGACAGTTCTGTTCCTTGGAGGGATGTGCCCCTGCACTCTTTCAGGGGATCTAGATCACTGGGCACATGGGACCCATGGGACCCATGGGGTCCGTGACCTCACTGCCCTACCATTTCCTCCCCAGCTGCATGCCCCAGATTCAATTTCTAACTTCAGAATGCTGGGATAGGTCTGGGGCTTAGATTGGGGAGAGGAGGGTGGGGTCCATCTGCTGGAGTCAGGAGTTAGCTGAAGCGTTAGGGGTCAGAGGATCAGCGTTCCTCCTGTCCGCTGGGAGCCCAGTGGGGACCAAGGCTCCTGGTTTTCAGTGAGGAAATGTTTTGACTCTACCTCTTGGACTCTGTGGACAGAGACTTTGGGGAAAGGGCTGGTCAGCTGGAAGGCTCTTTGCTGAATCATGGAAGCACTTTCAGGGGGGTGCGAGGCTGGGGGCAAGCTGGGAAGAGGGCCTGGTCCCACTGGGTGTGCGCAGCCTTCCCGAGACCTACCAGTCCCCAGCAGAAAGTCTCCCCTCCAGCCTGGCCCCTCATCAGCTTTCTGTGGAGGAATTCTGCTGCCGCCAGCCTGCCCTCACACTTGTCCCAGTGGGATGACTGCAGCTGCCTACATCCACCCCCACTGACTCTGGCCCTAACCTCCTCTGTGGTTATTTGCAAACCATCAGGGGACCCTGTCCTACAGTTCAAGCCTCCATTGACGCCCAATTACACAAAACAGAAACCTGGACTCTTGACTGTGGCCCAGGAACCTGAGAACCCCCTGCCCCCTCGCAGTCTGAGCTCCTTCCTGGGTCAGCCCCTCTTGCCCTAATCTTCTGGGGGGACCCTGCTCATTGAACTGTCCTTAGGATAGCTGCACTTGGGATACTTTTTCAGCCCTGGCTAGCAGTGGACTTCCTGTTGCTTTGCTTAATTTCCCTCCACATCAGAAGTGGTCAGTGGCAGACCAGGAGAATTGACCCCAGTGGGCACTACCACCTTGAGCGTCTGTCCAGCTTCCCTGTGTGAGCAGTGCTATCCCAGCACCTCCTAGAACAAATGGCCCGGCCAGCTTCTTTGAAACATTTACTCAGCTCACGTCTGAAGCTCTGGAAACCGCAAGCTGTGGCCAGTAGGCAAGGAGAGTCACAATCTGCGCTGAGCGGCGTGACCCGTGGTGGGCGCGGTGCAGAAGCGCCAGCTGGACCCGTGTTGAGGCGGCGCTGCACTAGGGCCTTGGGCAGGTCATGCACAGAGGGCCGGGCTGACTGATGCGGCGCTCAGGGCCCCACAGGGTCCTTGCCGATTCCCGGCTCCTCCGCGGACCTCTCGGGGGCAGGTGGGCGTGGGTCGCGCACGGCGGCTCGGCCTTGGCTACCAGATGCGGCATCGCTCCTTCGGGTGCATCGGGGTGCCCCGTGCGCAGTGGAACGCGTCCGCAAAGGCAGCCAGGTTCTGCAGTGAGCCCAACACTCTGCAGGCAGAGGCATGACCTGAGAGGACCACCGGGCTTGGGGGCCGGGGGTGCAGGGCGGGTGTGGGCCGGGGCGGGGATACTTGCCTGTACTTTAGGGGACTGTGGACATCCGTCTTAATGGACTGGATGGCGAACTCGGGCCGGTAAGAGCCGCACCACACCTGTGGGTACACGAGGGGCATGGATGTGCAGAGGCATGGATGGGGTGAGGTGGGGCAAAAGGCGTGGCCCAGAGAAGTGGGGGTGAGCCTTGGAAGGTACAGGGAGATGGGCAGGTCAGTCCCTGATTTTGTTCTCTAGGTCCCTGCAGGGGACAGCGAATCAGCATGTTCCTTCTAACCCCTAACATCTGATTCCACCCCAGCTCCAGACCTTCCTGCCCCCACCCTGCCCCATCCCTAGGAGACATTCCAAGTTGGTCCACTGGTCTGCCTGCCAGTCTGCAGTATCCAGTGGCATCTCCTAAGGGGTGTCCTGAAAGCGGTGGGAGTGGGAACAGTTGCGAGGCAGTGTGGGGCTGCTGTTGGAATCGAGCACCTCCAGGATAGGAGGACAGGTGGGGTGTCTACCTGGGCGTAGTTGATGAAGAAAAGCTGGTTATGGGTCATTTCCAGGCCTGGCAGCTGGAAGTCCTGACCGCCTTCCATCAGCCACTTCAGGTAAGCCTACAGGCATCAGGTGAGAACCGGGCATGGCTCTCAGAGGGCAGGGCCTACCCTGCTTCCCAGACAGAACCAGTGTTCCCTACACTGCCCTCCCAGGTGGGTCCCGTCTCTGCCGCTTAATGCCTGTCTGGGATCCTGGGGACAGGTGTTCATCACCTTAAAGTACTTGGCTGAGCTTCTGGGCTCCAGGGGCTGGACTGTCACTGAGGTGTGGGTCAAGGGTGTTGCCAAGAGGACTGCCATAGAGTATCTTATTGAGGCCTCACTGAGGGGTGGTAAGCTTCAGGCAGAGATGTCCTTATCCTGCCTGTCCACTAGCATGTTGTACTTCTCCAGGGCTTAAATAGAGGAAGCTCCCAGAATAGTGGGCTATTGTTGTTGTTGTCAGGTGCCATCGAGTCGGAACTGACTCATAGCGACCCCATGCACAGCGGAACGAAACAATGTCCGATCCTGGGCCAACCTCACTACCGCTGCCACACTTGAGTCCATCAATGATGCCACCTGGCTGATCCATCTCGTTGGGGGTCTTTCCTCTTTTTCTCTGACCTTCCACCCTACCTAGCATGACATCCTTCTCCAATGATTGTTTCCTCCGGACAATATGTCCAAAGTAGGAGAGACGAAGCTTAGCCATCCTGGCCTCCAAGGAGCACTCTGGCTGCACTTCTTCCAAAACAAGAATAGTGGGCAGTTCCTATCAAACTAAGAGCCTCCTGCCCTGGCTGAACCTGACTGCTCCCCTCTCCCCTCCCCGCAAGGGAACATCCACTTCAACCCACCTTATATGCCTGCCGCACCCCTCCGTTGTCTGCAATGTTCTCCCCAAGTGTGCTGAACCCATTCACCTATGCACAGGAGGGAGGTGAAGGGGCATCGGGGGTCCTGTGCCCCTTCTCTCATGCAGCCAGGCCCCCACAGAGACACCAAGGCAGGGGTGCAATCCCTGGGGTGGACCCCAGCAGGTGCCGGTGGCAGGGCACTCACGTTGAGCTCGTCGGCCAGGTCCCAGCTGTAGTTTCCATACTGGTAGACCATGCACTCGGACTGGTCTCGGAAGTGCTGAGCAGAAAAGTTGCTCCACCAATCCAGCATGTTGCCGTCTTTGTCAAAATTCCGGCCTGTGGTGGGGAGGGGAGAAGGCAGCTGCCACACACTCTCTGCCTATTTGGGGTGGCCAGCCCTTATGTCTGCGTCTCTTTCCCACTGCTGGGGCAATGCTGGACCTGGAATCTGAGCTGCAGTACTTGGCAATTCCCTTTCATGCCCCTGGCCTCAGTGCCTCTATCTAGGCCACCAAGGGTTGAACAGACAGTTCTCAAGGTCCTTCCTGGTGGTATGTGTGAGACCCGGGAGTATGGTCCCCCTGCAGCTCCTCTTACCATTGTCGTCAAAGCCGTGGGTGATTTCATGCCCGATCACCATGCCGATACCCCCAAAGTTCAAGGCTTGCGGCTGCTCCTTGCTAAAGAATGGGGGCTGGAGAATCCCAGCGGGGAATACTGCCCCCGGGGCAGGGGATGGGGGGGAGGCAAAGAATCAGCTTTGAGCAGGTACCTCATGTGCCAGGCTTGGGGGTGGGCACTTCTGGGAGTCCTTTTAATTTGGCAATGCTGATAAATAAAGACAATGACCTCCTCCCCCTTTTACAATTGGGACAACTGAGGCTCAGAGACCATGGTGGTGGGTCCAGGCCTCAGGTTCATTCTTCTCACCACTTTGTGCTGTCCTCAGGGAAAGGGGCTCTGCTGGTCCCCCCTCTGCTCCCTGAGGATGAGGGAGCCAGCCTGTGGCAGGGTGGAAGTGACAGGTAGCCACTTTCCATCATAGGCTGAGAAGAGCCCAGGAGGAAGGAGGCAGGGCTGCAGCGGCATGGGAGGTGTAGGTATGGGGACATACCAATCTGGTTTCGGTTTGGGGAGTAGAATGCGTTGACCACCGCTGCTCCTATGATCCAGCTGCGATGAATAAGTCAGTCTATCAAATCAGACCTCCTGAGACCCTCCTTCAGGTCTCTACTTTCTCTGCCTGATCAGAGCCCACCTGTGAGGCCCATGTCCCAGCTGCTGTGCCATGGGACAGCTACAACAGGGCTGACCAGCTGAGAGCTCAGCTGCCACCAAACGGACTCAGCTCTCGTCTGATGTGACCTTGGTGCTGCCCCTCCATCTTCCACCCCCATCCCCAGCTTGTGCAAGCTTCTGCCCATCATGGTCCCAGCACACCCCTGCTCACAGGTTCGGGTCCACCTTCTCCCGCAACTTTTTAAGGCTCCTCTGGGCGCCAGCCTTGAGGTTCTGCAGGCTGTTCTCAAAGTATAGGTCCTCGGAGAAGTTCAGCTGTGAGAAAGGAGCTGTCAGTCCTGGACCGGAGCACAGAGTGGTGTGCGTATATTTGTGGGGTCTGAGGGAGGGGCTCCAGGATCTCTGGGCAGCAGGCAGAGTGGCCTGTGGGCTCTGGGACCACCAGCTCTCAGCTCTGTGTGACTTTAGGTGACTGTACGAGCTCCCTAGCTCTGGTGGGAGGCATGGTAGGTTCCTGGTACTCCCTCCCCGCCACATGGAGATGGCCTGGGGCGCACGTTGGAATACTCCTCGTCTAGTTGCTGGTTCCTTTCGTCCAGGATGTACTCAGGATAACCAATCTGCTCCCGGATATTCATGGCCTGGGGAAGAGAGGGGCTGTCCATGCCCACTCGGCACAGAAGCATGGGGTCCTCCGAATCATGTATCCCAGCTCAGCCCCCTTATCATGCTGCTTTGGGGAAGGCACCCCTCAGAGCCTGGGCCCTCCTAGAAGGGCATAGAGAAGTTGAGCTAGATGAAGTGTAGACAGGCCTGGCCCAGGTGTGACCCTTAGGATTCGTCCACCAGCCTAGGGACTAGGGAGGTGGTGAGGGGCTGGAAGGATGTTACGCTGTCAATTGTCCTGGCCCTCTTAACTGACGTTAAGACCCACGTCCACCCCTCACCTGAGGCCATGGTGACACCATCCATTTCTTACCAAGGCTTGACTAATGTCCTGCCTCTGCTCATGGCCAGCCCCTCCCCCAAGCCTCAGTTTCCACATCTTGAAAGTGGGTGTGAGGATGTTTGCCCCATGCTCTCAACCTGGGGTTGTAGCACTGCTGGGAAAGACCTCAGGTGGAGGGATGCTGGGTCTCCAGTGGGCCCCCAGCTCTGTCTACTCTTACCTTCTCCTGGGCTTTGTGCTTGGACTCCTCGTCCATCCAGCCCAGCTCGTCCAGAGTCTCCACAAATACTGCCCGCACCTTGTCAATGAGCTTTCTCACCTGGGGTCACAAACAGCCTTCAGGCTGGAGACACATAGGGGAGCAGTGACTAGTGCTTGGGACTCTCTATAGGGGTCTGGTTCAGCCCCCACCTGACTGGACAGCCTGGTCTATCCTGCTGTGGGCCTCACCAGGTGGGGGAAGGGTATGGCCATGGTGGTGATGGAGCTTACTGGGATGGGTTCTCACTGTAAGTGGGCCCACCTGCATAGTGTCTCTGGACTCAAAACTGTAACCTTCCTCAGACTGGTTACTTGAGGCAGCAGGAGGTGTGTGGGTGGGTGGGTGGCGGGCGGGTGGAGGGCAACATATGGGATTTCGGGCCATAATGCCCAGGTACTCAGGTTTAGAACAGTCGTGCTAAGTCTGTAGTTTCCCTCCTGCAAGGCCAAGCAGGGGGTGACCCTCACTGGGAGCAGGGAGACATGCAATGCTGGGACAAGAGTCCCTGCGGGGAGCTGTACTGGCATGAGAGGTCTTGGTCCGGCTGTGGGCAGAGGGTCTAAGCACAGAAGGCAGGACCACCCACCATCTTCTTGCTGTTTCTGGGGAAGGCCTCCCTGACGTAGAGAGAACCCACGGCATTCTCCATGTTGCTGTTGACGTAACTGACGCACTCCCGCCAGCGCGCCTCCTCCACCGTCGTACCATACAGCGCCTGGGTGAACACCATCCCTGCCCTTGACCACCCATTCCCCCACATTTACCAATCTTCTAACATCTCCCCAGGTCTTGGATGGGACCTTGGAGTTATGAGGTGAGAAGACACACCTGGCCTGTGGTCGGGGGACACAGAGGAACTCAAAGGCCTACTTCTAATGATGGGTGTGCGGCAGTTCCGAGTGGGAGAGCCAGGCCAGGTGTTGACCTTTACCCTGAAGTTGTTGGAGTCCTAGCTCAGCCCCCGAACTCCTCCTCTTCTCCTGTCTGTACCAATGTGGGCTGGGGGACTGGTGTGGACTCATCCCCATCCCCCCAAAGCACAGAGGTAAGCGGGGCCACATCTAACTCAGCCCATTGGCTTCCCATATTCAACTCTTCTCCCAAATCCACCTGCTGAGAACACTCTGGGCCACGCCCTCATCACATTAGCCTTCCCTCTGACCCTCCTAGGCCATTGCCAATCACAGTGACCACACAAGCAGGAAATGAAACTGCTCTGCATCCTACAAGTGGCTCTAGCTGCCTGTGAACTACACTCCCTCTTGGCCTGGCCCCACATCACCATCCTTTGCCTCCTTCCCTAACCTCACCCTGACCTTCTTATGGGCTTTTAGGTCCAGCCTCCCTTCTCAGGACCCTGCACTAGCTGTTTTCAGTCCTTGGAAGTCTGCCCCATGCCTGAATCCCTTCTTTCAAGGTCTACAGGGTCCCTTTTGCAAAGAGACTCTCTCTGCCCACACGCCCCTCTCACACTATAGTTTTGGGCTTTGATAGAACTAATCTTTGGCTCTGTCTTGTTCATGGCTCTGACCCCTTTATCAGCCTCAATGCTTTCCTGTAGCAGATGCTCAGGATCACAAATTGAATGAATGGATGAAGGAATGATGGGCCAGACTCTGGGCAGGGATGCATGCCACCACTGTGAATCATGCTTACCTTTCGATAATTCATTCGCGTGTCCTTGAATCGCTGGCTCAGATTGCTGATGTGGTCAAGTACCAGGCGCCAAATCAGATAATTCTGCATGGTCCTGGGACAGAAAACAGAGGGCAGGGAACAGGACAGGCGTTTTGCCTAGGCAAAGGATATGCTCCTGAGCTTTGGGTTAACAAATTCACCCCAAGGAGGGATTTCAGGAAGCTGGAGATGCTGTCTAAAACAATCCCCTACAAACAGCCCTTGGGCCTCAAGGAATGGCCTTGCATCTCTCATGGGATGTGGCTCCTTTGGCTATTAAACTTTAACCCCTTTGTGAACCTCATGCCTCAGGGTAAATACCTGAGGGAACACTTTCCTGAGAGTAGGAAGTAAGGATTCTGAGGCCTTCCGGAGCCTTCCCGAGGTCTCACCTGGCTGAATAGGCATCTATGATGTCCTCAAGGCTCTTGAGGTAGGGGATGCCATAGACCACCACTTCCTCATTTGGCTGCAGCTTGATTCTGACAGAGGCTAGCACCGTTTGTATGAAGACAGTCCAGTTAAATCCCTGGGGAAGGAGGGTGTAGAAAGAAGGAGGGAGGCACAGTTCCTGGTCATTCAAGAAACCCAGACCCAACCCAAGCCTGTTCCAGAAATTAAGAGAGAAGGCACAGATAATGAGAATTAGGAAAAAGGTGGAGGACACTACTATAGAGACTATAGGCTGTAAAAAGGTAATAGATTACATTGGAAAACTTAAGTGTAATGGACACCTTTCTGTAAAAACACAATTTAGCAAAACTGACAAAAGAAGAATCAGAGCATATGACTAGTCTTATGTGTTAAGTAAAGAAAATCTTTAAAATATTCCCATAAAGAGATTTCCAGATTCATGTGATTTCACCAATGGATTCTATTTTGACACATTAAGGAAAAATCAACGTGATTCAGAGTTTTGAGAGAAGAGAAAAGGGAAAACTCTTTCAGCTTGTTTTATGAAACTAAAAATAATCTTACTGCAAAGATACGGTGATTTCAAGGAAATAAAGTAATAAGCTAGTCTCATTTATGATCAGAGACTGTCTAAATAAAATATCAGCAAGTAGAATTCAGCTATACATATATAAAAAGGATAATATATCACAGTCGAATTAGGTTTATTACAGGAATATGAGCTTGCTTTCACATTTGAAAAAATCAATATAATTCATTATTATAACTGAATAAAGAAGAAAATCACACAGTCATTTCCATAGATACATAAAGTTATTTAGTAAAATTTGATATCTACTGAGGATTAAAAACTCCCGGAAAACTCCAAATAGGAGAGAAATTTCCTAATTTGATGAAAAGAGTTTACAAACAACAACCATAAAACAAAACCTCTAGAGGGAAGATTAGATTTAATGGTGAAATGTTGAAAGCTTTTAAGCTTTTCCTATGAGACCAGGAACAAAACCCAAGATGTTTACCACCATGACGTCCCCATTATACTAAAATCCCAGTCATGTAATATGACAAAGATTGTGTGTGTGTAGCCAATTTGAAAGATGGATCTTGGCTGAAAGCACAGAATGCCAGAAAGATGTTTACCTGTGCTTTATTGACTATGCAAAGACTTTTGACTGTGTGGATCATGACGGGCTATGGACAACATTGCAGAGACTAAGTATTCCAGAACACTTAATTGTGCTTATGAGGAATTTGTACATAGACAAGACAGCTGAACAGAACAAGGGGTTACTGAATGGTTTAAAATCAGGAAAGGTGTGCCCCAGGTGTATTCATTCACTATACTTCAATCTGTACGCTGAGCAAATAATTCAAGAAGCTGGATTATGTGAAGAAGAACGTGGCATCAGGATTGGAGGAACATTCATTAACAACCTGCGATATGCAGATGAAGGAGCACCAACCTTGCTTGCTGAAAATGAAGAAGTCCTAAAATACTGATGAAGATCAAAGACCACAGCCTTTAGTATGGGTTGCACCTCAATGTAAAGAAAACAAAAATCCTCTTCACTGGACCATAAATAACATCATGATAAATGGAAAAAGACTAAAGTTGTCAAAGACTTCATTTTGCTTGGATCCACTATCAACACTCAAGAAACAGTTGAGAAATCAAATGATGTATTGCATGAGGCAAATCTGCTGCACAAGACATCTTTAAAATATTCAAGAGCAAAGATGTCAGTTTGAGGATTAAAGTGTGCCGGACCCAATCCGTGGTATTTTCCACAGCCTTATATGCATGTGAAAGTTGGACAGTGAGTAAAGAAGACTGTAGAAGACTTGATGAATTTGAGTTATGGCATTGACAAAGAATATTAAAAGTACCATGGACTGTTAGAAGAACAAAAAATCTGTGTTGGAAAAAGTACAGCCAGGATGCTCCTTAGAAGCCAGAATGGCCAGATTTTATCTCTTATACTTGGAAATGTTATCAGGAGGGACTGGTCCATAGAGTAGGACATCATGCTTGGTAAAGTGGAGGGTCTGTGAAAAAGAGATGGATTGGTACAGTGGCACCAGTGATGAGCTCAAGTATTAACAACAGTTGTGAAGATGGTGAAGGACCAGGCAGTGTTTCATTCATGTTGTTGTTGTTGTTGTCAGGTGCCATTGAGTCAGAACCAACTCATAGTGACCCCATGCACAGCAGAACGAAACAATGTCCGATCCTGGGCCAACCTCACTACCGCTGCCACACTT